TTTCAATTCTATCGTGGTTTATGTCGAATAAAAGGACAAACAACAAAACTACATTTATGTGATATATATGGAAATAAAGAGGCTGGACAAAAGTTCAAAGAAATGTTAGCGATGGGTTCATCAAAACCATGGTCACAAATTTTACAAAGTTTAACTGGAGAAACTAAAGTCGAATCAAAAGCTGTTTTAGATTTCTTTGAACCATTATATAAATGGTTGAAAGCAGAAAACTTAGCAAGAGGCTATCCAGTTGGATGGATGTAAACATGAACATTTTTATTTTGTTCGATTTAATATTTACTATTGTGTTTCTACTATATTATTTGAATAAATATTTACTAATTAAATTTCAATTGTAGTCAATTAGTTGAAGATGTTTTTCGATTAATGAATATGTGGATGATTGAATTATTTCTCTTGACAATCCAAATCAATTGAGATGCGACGTTGTTTTTGATATAGATAAGTATCAATCGTATCATATAAATTTGACCGAATTCGCTGATTTAAGAATAGAAACAAATAAATACAAACAAGAACGAAAAAAAAATTTCTCTGTTTAACTAGTGGTTGAACGATAGTATAATATTCTTCAGAATTAATAGATACTGAAATTATTGAAACTTTGGGTTTGTCTATGTAATTTCCTAAATATTTTCTCTACGATAAAATGCTATCCTTAAGTATTTCAGATATCAGATGGAAGTTGTGTATCCATTTGAACTAATAGATTCAACAAGTTTATTAATAATTATGAAACGATATTGTATTAAATCCTATGATAAGCATATAATGATATCTGATAAACAAAAAGTACCATGTTTGTGACTTAGAATAATGCAAAGGAAAAACAATATTATAGCCTTCGCTTTTCACTCTGAAATATTGTATCTGTTTATAAATTTAACGACTGATAGATTATTGAATAAGAAGTATTCGAAATTTAAACATCTATGATTAATATAATAGTTATTAAAGTATTACGAAGATGAATTTTTAAATATCATGAAAAGAAAGAAGTATGAGCATACGATGCATCATGTATGTTAACATCTGTACTTAACTTTGCAATCTGATATAAGATTTTACCATAAAAAACTCAAATCGTTTTCAATGTTTTTTATTTTTTTGAAATCTAAAAACATTCTGTTTTTTTCAAAATGTTTGACTAAATCATAATAATACCCATCACCAATAATAATAAATTGTTTATAAAAAAAAATAAAAACCAATACTAGCCAGGTGGCCATTCAAGTTGTCGTCCACCAAGTACATGAACATGAAGATGATAAACACTTTGACCACCATTTCGTCCATTATTAATAACTAAACGATAACCATCTTTTTCAAGACCTTCTTTCTTAGCGACTTGAGCAGCAACAAGTAATAAATGACCAAGTAACTAAACAAATATGTAAACTTAAATACGATTCCACCAAATATCTAACTTTACTTGTTCATGAGATGGTTTACATGTAGCTA